TGCTGGTCATCAAAAGCAAACGAAAGTTATTTGACTGTCACGTGCCACTTCATAAATGACAATTTCAAACTGCAATCGGCGGTTTTGACTACTTCCAAGCTTGTGAATGAACTAAATCACTCAGCTGCAAACATTTCGGAGACACTGCGGGAGTGCTTAAATAAATGGAAAATTTTGAACAAAGTCACATGTGTGGTAACAGATAACGCCGCGTCAATGGTAAAGGCTTGTGAAATGCTTCAGAAAAAGAATCCTCCCTGTTTCGCGCATTCAATGAATCTTGTTGTACAAGATGATTTATCGACCGAAAATGTTAAAACACTATTAACAAAGTGTAAACGAATAGTAGGATATTTCAAAAGGAGTACTATTGCTTACGCAAAATATAAAAAAAGCAGAGTGTAGAAATCCAATATAGTCTTGTTCAAGAAGTGACAACGAGATGGAATAGCGCATTTGCGATGATGCAGCGAATTTTACTTACCAAAGAAGCGATATTTGCAGTGCTTTTAAACACGCCCAAAGCACCGCCGGTTCTTACAGCAGAAGAAATAGAACAACTTCAAGATCTATGTTTGCTGTTAGAACCGTTCAATAAAAATACAAACATCATATCTGGAAATAAATACGTAACAATTTCGCATATAATTTTGATTGCCTGGGGGTTATATTCTACGAAGACGAAACTGAAATCTAAACTGCGAGCAGGAGAAGGATTGGAAGCATGCTCACACTTGTCCGAAAAAATTAAGCAGAGACTCTTTCCTTATGAGTCTAGAAGTGTTCCGAGTTTGGCTACCCTGTTGGATCCAAAATTTAAAAAAGAAGGTTTTCGGTCAGGGCAAAATGCATCCCAAGCGTGTATATTACTGGAAAACGAATTGGCTGAGATTATTAGAGTTAGTGCATCTGAAGCGAAAGACAACATGGAGGAACCATCGACAATCCACAATTCTGCGATTCCCGAAATATATGAGTCTCTAAAGGAAAAACTTTCAAATAAAGTAAAATCCAATAGAGCAGACGCTATCATCGAAATGCGCGAATATATGGAAAAGCCTAATGAGCCGCTGGACTCAGATCCATTGGAATACTGGACTAAGTAATTCAACCGATTCAAATGCTGGCAGCGAGATATTTGTGCATCCCTGCAACTTCCACCGAGTCTGAACGCCTGGTCAGCAAAGCTGGGCAGGTAATATCGGAGAGGCGTACAAGACTTAAGGAGAAGCAGGTGAAAATGCTCCTTTTCGTAAATAAAAAACCATTGGATGGTTAATTCATCTTTGATCTCTTTACCAACTATTGTTTGTAACACCTGAATTTTTTAATTTGAATTAAAAATTTTGTTTTTTAGTGCGATGCCGACGTCATATTCAAATATGAACGCATTTAGGCATGAACGAAAGAATAAGATCACCCAGGACCGCGTGCAAGAAAAAAGTAATTTTTTTGCAATGACGTCATTTTTTCGCCGCCACGTGAATGAAAAGGAACGAAACCATGTGTGTGAATGAAACAACTGATTCAAAAATGACGTCATCAATTATTTATTTTTTTCTCAAATGCAATTACAAATACACGGTTGCCGTGCTGGGCGATCTGTTTAGTTGATTCATAGCATTTAGGCCAAAGTACATACATATGTTAATCGTAAATCCTGTTTTGTTTGTATAACTTGTGTTTGTTTCTGAACTTTCTAAAACGAGAAGTATTTTGGCTAAGCAGTTACTTAATTTTGAATGATTATAACTTGTATAAGATAATATTTATTTCACTATGATCCTGTAAAAACAAAGCAACGTAACTGATTTAGCACTATCGATAGCGCTATAGATAGTGCTATCGATAGTTTTGTTTTTTTCGAGACTATCGTGAATATTGATAGTTTTTCTGAAAACTATCAAAACTATCGATAGTGTGACAATCGATAGTTTGACACTTCTAAAACGAACTGATCCCTGCAAAAATTGCGACTACTCCATGCATGCGTGTAAAGAGTAATCCCTAAGGACAAAGGAGTACTCCAAAATTAATCACAATTCATATAAAAAATATGGTCCAATTAACATTGCGATGTCCTAGGGCAGGACCATATACTCCATCCCTGCATTACATCAGAGTAGCACAAAACTACTCCAACATATTAACAATGGCATTGTTGTTGTATTTTTTCGTTTGTACACGCTTTTGTTCTTCACTTCTCAAATGCTTTTTCGAAATTAATAAAAACCAAGACAAAAATTAAAAATTACATGTTGCCTCTGACGGCATTCAAACCCGAACATGCTGGGAGCTAAGAACTAACAGCGAGCATCTCTACACGTTCAGCTACAGCCAAACATGCAAATGTGCTTTCAAATGCTCAACTTCAATCACATTTCGTTAAAACACGAGCAGTGATCGGATAACAAACAATAAGCTGGCGCAGAGACACGAGTTGGTCCGCTACAGCATGACAGAGGAGCACTTTTGTAAGTACTCCAATATACCACAAATAGACTACATGGTCCAACGATTTTTGCAGGGATACCAAACAAATACATATATCATGTAGTGTTGGCAAACTATCGATGGCACTATCGATGCCATCGATGGTTTTGGTTTTTTTTGACTATCGAACATTTTCCAAATTTTAGACACAAATGCAATACCAAGGCATATTAAGGTCCGGTTACTCAATGTCTGGTTAACACTAATCTGCGGTGAAACAGCGTTATCGACGTCTTCGACTCCATGCATACAACAGGGAGTCGGTAACGTCGATAACCAAGAATGATAGAATACAAGATTGCGCCGTCCTGGGCGTTGACATTTGTGTACCACAAGTAAACAAA